TCAGTATCTGGGCTTAACATCATGGTAAAGGACTCCCTCTTTATTGGAATTGACTGAGTCTCTGTCTTAAATAATTCATGTTGAATTGGGAAGCTGTATTTCCAACAAGATAGCAGAATTAATATTAGAATGGGCAAGGAAGAAGAGGGAAATGGGAAGGAAGACTGGGAAAATGTTCTCAAATAATTAAGCTGGCATTCAACACCCTCCCCCAACTTCTGATTCCCTCATCCTGATCACCTATTTCTTTTCCATGGTACTTATTACCAACAAGCATTCTATGACATGATTTACTTGTTTAATCTGTTTATCACTTGTCAGCTGTCTCTCTCCCTGCTATATCATAAGCTCCATGGGTGCAGGGATAGTTTTGCCTTTTGTTTACTGGTGAATCCTGACTGTCTAGATCAGTGCTTGGCACATGGGCAGTGTTCAGGAAGCATTTGTTGATCAAATCCTTGGCACCCATTTCCCTCCTGCTCTGGGTCCCCGCCTTCTTGCTTTCCCAGATCTTCAGGCAGTTGAAAAGATTAAGTGCAATGCTGCCCTACAGTTTTGAGCCTGTAACAGGTTGGATATTTTTTAACCTTGGATTCCTGCACATGGGAAAAGTGTGCATGCACTCTGTGTGTGCATGTGTGTGTGTATACAGCTTTGAAATTGTGTGTGTATATAGCTTTAAAATGTATAGCACTTTATTGTTTGTAGAGCTTACACACAGGTGTGTTTGATGTTCACAACCCTGTAAGATTGACATTTTTAGTATTCCCATTTAAAGGTAAAGAATCAGAAACTCCATTCATTCTTTCAGGCACTTAAACACAAACAAATATTACTGAGTTCTTGCTCTGCACTAAGTGCTGGTTAAGGAGTTGGACCAAAGAAGCCCAGTTTCATCCTTCATTCCTAAGGACATTGCCCAAGGTCACAGAATCAGCTGCAGGAAGATACTTTCTCAGTCTGGGGCTCTTCCTACCACACCACAGCTCTGCACATGTGCCTAGAGGTCCTTGGATGGTCAATCAACCTGAGCCTCTGCAGGCATGTCTAGATACATAGAAACTGGATACCAAGGGAGGCCTGGGGGTTAAAGTCCTCAGCTAAGTCCCCAATCCAGGTCTAGTTGGGACTTCCACAAGTCTCCCTTCCAGCCTCAATTGGGATGCTGTCCAAACCATCCTAATCAGTTACCTTCTAAGCCTCAGGCACCATACATATCTTGGGTCTAGTAGGGGATGGCCCATTTCCCTAAAATAGTTGGTATGGCATGATGGACTCTTGACTGTGCAAATAAGGCCTTTTGAGAACTGGACAACTCTTAAATCAATTCTCATTTTACAAGGAAAGAAACTGAGACCTTGAGAGGTGGAGTAATGAGACAAGGATTACGCAGCTGGCTGGTGGTAGGAAAACTGCTTCTAGGTCTATGGTTCTTTCCATGATTTCAAGACTCTTGAGTTGTTCTATGGAGTAAAGATGCCCGTCTGGACCTGAGCTGAGTCAAGCTTGGCTCTTGGCAGCTGGTGGGACACAGAGGATCACAGCAGTCATTAACCTGAACCTGTCTTCTTGCTCTCAGCTTCTCCAGCTCAGCTTCTTCCCCCACGTTTCCTTCATTCTCTGGCATCTCCCTCCACCTCCCATGGGTAGCAAATGTTCAGCTCGAAGTTGCTCCTTGCCTGATTGCATTGAGAACTGGAAACACAATGCTAATTAATGTGTCTGTGACTCTAGGCTTGGCTGCTGGGCTGGTCCCCCATACCCTCCCAGGAGCCTACCAGGCTCTGCGAACTGGCCCTCTGGCTTCTCCAAGCTTGCTGTTGGCAGAGGCATATTTTAACAATGCACATCTGTTGACTATATAATCTCTCGTATTTGCCCTCCTCACTTGGCGCTTTGATGGAAGACTCCCAGGGCCTCCCTGCATTCCAGCCAAAGTGTTTGCTTTGCAATTTTGCTGGAAATACCATCTGATTCTGTTCTCACGTCTTCTGCAGGTTCTAATCAGGCTCTTACTTTATTTAATTAAAAATCTATCTCAGGCAAATACAGACTAAATTAAGAATCTCTCTCATTCCTGGAACACAGGGAAGGCAGTCCCCTGCGGGGAGCTGGCCAGGACATTTTCCTGGGCTGAGATGTCACAGCAAAGCAGACAGGGTCTTGGTTGGGAAGGTAGGCAGCTGGGCCAGGGTTCACAAACACTCCTTTCCCCTGTGCAGAACAGCCACTCTGTCCATCTACTTGCCCCAATCCAGGGCTCCCTTCCTAATGGTCTGGGTGGCCTCCTCTTGCTATGCCTCCCTCTAGGCATTAGGTGGGGCCCCACACCTGGAGAATCAGCCAGGCAGAGCCCTGCAGTACCAGTGGTAGGGAGGGATCTGTAGGACTGTGTGTTTGGGGAGCTATGAGACCAGTTAGGGTGCGGAGGTGGGGAGACTATAGGAATGGTTGAGGGGTGGAGATGTAGGGGGCCCTAAGGAATAGTTAGGGAGAACTGTGGAGCCTAGGCAGCTCCTTCTTACTGGGGTTCAGTTTGTTTAGGGTGAGCGGTTTCTGTGGAGACAGCAGGAATGCCTGAGGGATAAGATGACAGCTCAGATTCCCTTTGGGGTCTCAGGAATTCTACTGAGGGGACATTGCTAGGACCTCTAAAACTACTCCTCCTTCAGTTGATCTCCAAACTTTAATAAACGCCTCCCCTGAACAGACCCAGCTAGCTCTACCAGGGTAGTGCCAGGATAGGCAACTACAGACAGGGAAGGGGGAGAAAATGTCTTAGATGTGACCCAAGACAAAATTGGGTCCCTGGATTTCAAAGTCCTGCTCTGAGAAGCCTGTCTCCTAACCAGCTGGACAGATGACATTCTGCTGACATTTGGGACCGGAAGACTGGGCAAAGAGCATTGGCTTGGAGTTGGAAAATGTAGAGTTGATTTTAAATGTTAATTAAGCTGTGTGACCTCCTGTGAGTGCCTTTGCGTCTCTGGGTCTCTCCATTTGTTTATCTGTAAAAAACATGGACTAATTTGGATTTTTAATATATTGGTCTTTGTTGTCTTACTGAGATAGCAGGGTGAAGGAAGCATAAGTGTCCAGGTGTGGCTGGTGAGGCCAATACACTTTAAGGACAGATATGTCTACATCTACTTTCTTATTATTGTCACTTTGCAGTAACTGGAGTTTGCACTCAGGGCCTCGAGTTCGCTAGGCAGGTGCTCTAGATCTTCAGCCTCATTCCCAACCCTCATCTGCGTCTACTTTAGCTACTGTGTGAAATCAGAAGAATGGACGATGCTAAGGGTCCCCTCTTCCCAGTATTGTCTTCTTTCTGGGAGGTGTATGAGACTGCAAAGGCAGATTCTTCTGAGGATTGGGGTGCTGAATCACATTTAAGATGAAGATCCTACAATTTTGCTTAGCAAATGTGCCTTGGCACTTTTGCAGTCCCCAAATCTAAAAAAAAAAATTAAGTCCTAAGTCCAGCCCCTTCCTCTTTGAATCTCACACCAAATTGGAGATGCTTTCCCCACTCATCTGGGTGGGATGCAAATGGGCACAGCTCCCTTTAACATTCCTGAATCTTCCTCTCAAAAGCTTCAGGCCCAGTCATCCAGCCTATTTACCCTGAAGGCCAGGACAGCTCATTCCCCACCCCTCTCTTGGCAGGCCAAATTCACAGTGTGGAGGTTTTTGGGGTTGGCCCCAGCTCCCCCTCCCCATCTCAGTCCAGCTCTGAGCTGGTAAGTGGTCCTCCAGGGCCTGTCTGCTTCTGAGCTCTGAATCATCTGCCCTATGTGTTTGGCTGTGTAGATCTGAAGATAACCTGACACGCTCTTAAATATTTTATCTCTGAGCAGCTGTGTGCCTTATCTGCCAGGCCACGAGGCAGCGCCCCATCTGCTGACCCTGTCCTCAAAATGCCACAGCAGCTGCTCAGAGGCAGCCTGGGCAGCTGGGCTCCCCTCTCCTGCCTGTCCATGCCCCAGCTATACATGTCTGGCAGAGACACATCCTGAAGGGGTCAGGGAGGTAGTGCAAGGAGCTCTGATTGGGGAACCTGGGGCCAAGCCTTCTGCTTCTCTGAGCCTCAGTTTCTCACCTGGGGTAACAACCCCTGACCCCCAGAGTGGCCCAGAAACAGCTGAGGTGAGGCAAGAGGCACAGCTTAGAGAATTGCTGCAGTCGCTTTGCAAATGTGAACTATTATTACTTCTGTGCAATGCCTGCTTCCCTGTAGCCCGGATTCTCTGGACCATCTGGCCAGAGGGGGAAGACTACCAGGCTGAATTCTAAATCAGAACTAGGCAGTGTAAGGTGCTACCAGGCAAGCCTACTCCACAGTCTTCAGGCAGGTAGGAGCTCTCTTCTTCAGGAGAGCTGTCCTGGGACATATGAAGAAAGACCAAGGGGAAAGGATATGATTGGAAGAAGGGCTTGAAATGAATCTTCCTTGGAATGACACAAGGAGCAGAATTGCCAGGGAGTCACGTGTGTGTGTGAGAGAGGAACAAGGGTTGTTTGTACTCCCTATGGACACTGAGGTCATGGGGGAATTGAGCTCCAGGCCGACTTTGCAGTGAAGGGACAGAGAGGGCTTTGTTGGCATTCTGGGAGGTGGGCTCGGGACAAAGGGACTCACAGACCATGTGACATCCTTTCCTATACTTGCTCTGCCTGACCTGGGGCCTGGCTTCCTTCTTTCACACGGTAGAGCACTCAGGAGCCCTCATTAGCTCCCTAAGTTGCAGTCAAACACACCAGGATGGGACAGGGTCATCAGCCAGTGGCATTAGACTTCGCATTTCCTAGTGCAGGAACCTTCACTTGTCCCCCTTGGGTGTTGGCAGGGGGCAGGGAAAGCTGGGAAACTATGGGGGGCATCGGAGAGTGGAGCTGATTATGCTTAGCAGGAAGCCCCTCCCTCTAGCCTGGCCAGAGGACCCTTTTGGAGCTGACTTCTTCATGTTTCCTCCTCCCTGCATGCAGATTGCTCTTACCTAGGACAGTGAGGCGTGCGGGGCGGGACCGAATGGCGGCCTGGATGGCCTGGCACTCATACACAGCATCATCCTGAAGCTCTGCTCGCAGAATCTTCAGGTGGTGTTCTCCCGACAGGTGGTTCCCTACCACCAGGTACTGTGGATAACCTGTGGAGACAGCAGGCAGATGAGGGAGATCAAAACAACCCATGCTAAAGATCCTTCGTCAGTCTACTTCCAGGTGGCTCGTGGGAGGTGCTACAGACCCTGGGTGAAATGGTTCTGAAAAGCCATGCCTTGCAAAAAGCAATGTGCACCCAGAAAACAGTGGATGTGGTAAACAGCAGACATGGGCAGAGACTTTCCTGTTGGAAAGTCTCTTCTTTTATGCCTGTAAAGAAGAGACTGGGGGTATGACACTTGGCCTGGACAGATATGACCAAGACATGATGACTGGTACCCGGGAGACTGTTTCTGCATAACAAACCAATCTTTGTTCTGCAATGAATTTTCCTTCCCTCCTCTCCCTAACTTGCCAGGCCACCTACCCCAAAGCCTCAAGCCTCTGTGTCTTTTTGTAACTCAAAATGCTATTGAAGCTCCAACTTTCTGTCCCCTTTATTATGGGGTACAGGAGTTTGAACTCAGGGTCTCGTGCTTGCTAGGCACTTTACCATTTGAGCCATCCCCTGAGCCTATTTTGCTTTTAGGTTATTTTTCAGATAGGGGCTTGCTCTTTCATTTGAGGGCTGGCCTTGGACCAAGATCTTCCTACCTATGCTTCTTGCCTAGCTGGGATGACAGGCATGCCCTACCACACCCAGCTTATTAGTTAGATGGGTTTTACTATCTTTTTACCCAGGCTAGACTTATTCTCCCAATCTCTGTATTGAGTAGTTGGGATTACAGTTATGAGCCTCTGTGCCCCCCTCTTTTTTTTTTTGAGTCTCATACATTGTGGGCTGTTCTCGTGTTTCTGTACATTAATAAACATGCTTTCTCCCCTATTAATTTGTCTATTGCTGTTTTATTTCAGAGGGAAAAGAGACAATTCGCAGCTTCCCTGCACAGCTGGGGCAGGCACAACTCTAGGAGCTTCCAGCAGGTGACCTGCTGATTAGGGCCCTGATCTCAGTGTAAGGAACACAAAAGCAAGAGTTTCCTAGGGTGTTGGGGCAGCGTGTGTGTGTGTGTGTGTGTGTGTGTGTGTGTGTGTGGTTGTCAGGGGGAGAGAGAGAGGTTGAGATTCACAAAGAGAAAACAAAGTAAGAGAGAAAAGGAAGGGAAAAGGGAAATATTTGGAAAAGGATCAAGAGTGACTTGGGGAAAAGTTTTGTCTCAAGATGGACAGGCTAGTGGTGTCTAGGAAACTCTGAGCACCTTGAACCATAGTGGCCCCTTTCTAGTCATTCCTACCTCCCATCCCCTAAGCCCCAGGGCCTGATTAAGCCCTTATGAGGCTCTCAGGACACTTAGGAATTTGGGGTCCCTTATACCACTGGCAATGAATAATATATAAGTAAAAGTTTGAGGATGATAAATCATTAATCAGTTTTTCTGCTGCTGTGTAGGGTTGAATATAAATGCCAACTTAAGTTACAGCTGGCCAGGCTGGGCTGTTGCTCTCTTTCCTGGCTCCTGGACCCTTAACTTCCTCAGTTTGTGCTGGCAAGATCCATTTTCCATCCCTCACCTAACCTGAGCTCTGTGGGCCCTAGTCCCCAATCGCTTGTACTATTGATATATACCTGGACACCCATATTTCCCTGTCCTGGATCTCCTCTCTCTGCAGAGGCCACTCCGTGCTTCCACCACTCTCTGACAGCCCCTGACTCCTCTTTCTGAAGGACCTTTGCCAGGACAGTGGAAATTCTGACATGTCATGGGAGTAGGGGACTGGACACATTTGGTCTTTTAAAGAGGAGACAAGGGTTTAAGCAAGTAAGAGACAGAGACAATCAGAGGCCAACAGTGAGACAGGCAAGTAATCTCTTCAAATGTTTCCCAGTCTGTTGGTGTAGGTCAGTCATAGTCATATAGTTCCCAAGGACAGTCCTAGAACCCATAGGGGAAGCACTTCAAAATATTCTTAACTACTTGAGGTGTTAAACAAGCATTTGGGCCACCAATAGGGTGGTGAAGTCCCCAGAGGTGATTTCTATAATGGGTGAAAGACTGGAGCTCTTAGGACCTTCCATTCGTATAAGCCAAGGGTTGTCCAGAGGTGGGGTAGGGCTCTTTGGGTGTGGGCTGCAGCAGGGGCCACTAAGCCTGTTCCTGTTCAGTGAGGTTGGCAGCCATGATCCTCCACCATGCTTCCCAGCGTCTTCTGTGGGCACTTGCTGTACAGCTGAGCAACTTCATGGCTACTACCGCCTTCATCATGCTGCCACAAGCAGCCCCTGCCCTGCACAGCTCAGCAGGTCTGGCCAGAAATGCATACAAGGTGATCAGCTGCATCCTGAGGGTACTGCCTGTCCTCTTGCTCATCCTCCTGCCCTCTGATGGCTAGGGAAATTTGCTAGGTATTATGAGACTGGCTGTCTGGCCTGGGCTGGGGCCAGGAACTGAGTTGGGTTCCTGTGCAGTTCTCCCCCCAGCTACTGTCCTCAGTGCAGTTGGCTTACAGGCCCCTGGCCTCTCTAGCCTAGCCTCTGGATCCTGCTGTCCTGTGGTTAGTCCCTGGTCTCCTGCAGGCATCTTGGCTGGAGCTCGTGTTTTTGTTGTCTTGCAAGCTATCAGCAGCAGGATTTCACTCTCATGAGCTGTGAGAACATCAGTGATGGGTTTGTTTGTGTTTGCCTAATTAGATGTCGAGCTGTGATGCCATCCCAGGGATTGGCAGCATCTTTGAAAAACATATTCAGAAGCATAGATCTGGAGGAACTTCTAGCTCCTTCTACAGTGTCAATACTTTCTACTCCCAAAGGAAGCAAAATTGTTTAGAGTCTGGGTTTTGAAGTCACATTGCCTGGGTTCAAATGCCAGTTTATCACTTCCTTGCTCTGTTGTCTCAGACTTTAACTTTTTTATGACTCAGTTTCTTTACTAGTAAAATGGGGGCAATGCTAGTGTCAGGTGGGGATTAAATAGGATAATCTATGTAAAATGTCTGGCACATAGTGAGTAGCCTATAAATTGTAATTTAAATAAAAATGACAGTGAGATAGGGTGGAGGTCTCCATCTTTGGATGGCAGGGTAGACTGGGTGAACAGGTTCTTAGCAGATGGGTGTCTTTACATTGGGATTGGTTATAGAACTGTGTTAATTTCTTTCTCAACTGTGACTCTGTTTATATGTCAAATAAAGGTAGAAATCCTTTCTCCCTTTGGATGACTGTAGATTTATGAGATAGTATCTGAGAAGTAGTTCAGCTTCCTAGGAGAAAAATGTTCTATCCACCTGAGGGAGCATATTTAAAAATCAGTTCATTTGACTGGTGTTTTCAGTGTTGGTGACCAGAAAGACATGAGATGTGCAGTGAGGGTGTCATTCCCAGTGGACTGAGTGGAATGACATGGTTCAAACAGAAAAGGACAGAGCTGCAGCTGGCAGAAGTCCCACAGCACTGGGCCTCAGTTTCCCTGCAGGAAAACTTCCATAGTATGAAGTGCTTCATGAATCATTGCTGAGTTGAATTGAGTTCTGGTCTGTTCCCTTCCTTATCAGACAAGCAAGCAGTATTTATTGAGCCTATGAGTACTTATTATCATTGTCAGGATACTATTTTGGGACAAGTGATTAAACACAGGGCAAATATTTATTAGGAACTTGAGCTGGCTCTGCAGGGAGAGGCCCACCTTCCTTCTGTAATTAGATCAAGTTTGAAGGAAGTTGACCCAGGGTTATCAGAGCCCATTCTCCTTTAGAACTAAGGAGGTCCCAATCCTGGATCCCAGAGAACCATTTACAGAACTATCCTTGGTGACCTAGGACCTCCTCTTAGCCACTGACCTAACAAGACCCCCGTTCTTACCAAAGCTGAAGACCACTGACCAGGACCCCAGACAGTTTCCTAGATTAGCATCAGCACTGGGCCAGGCTCAGAGCTGTCCAGAGCACAAGAAATTCTCATTTGGGAAGGTCGCTTCGTTCTCTGGTTTCTCTAGGGTAAGGGAGTTCAGTGTCTCTGAAATTGGCTGGTTCCCATAATACTTAAACTTTATGGCGGCACAGTATATTTTGGAGATATTATTGTGTATTTTATCCATGCTCAGCTGGGCTGCAATATTCAAACCCTGTGACTGCTATTGACCATTGCTATAATGTTTCAATATACATTTTTGGCAAGACATAACTCACATTTTAAAATATTAATTTCCCAGCCATCATGTTCCTGAGTGCACTTCGATTTTTATTTTCTTGCAGCTGTACACCATGAACGAGGCTAAACAGCTACTCTGTTGAATACATATTTTTCATTTATCCTCCACCCTCAGCCTTTTCCAAGTCACAGGGGAATGACACCCAGATCTGTCCTTCTGAATTTTACTATGCATGTCAAGCCTAGCAAATAGCCATGTGCCTAACCACCCCGGGGCAGGGTAATGATGGTGGATGGGTGAATGACCAGGAGGATGGCTTCATTTTTTTTTCTCTTAGGGAGAGGGTGTGTTGGAAAGGTGTCTGGAGAGCTTCTGGGGTAGCCATGCATAGTAGTTAACTAATGACCCGTATGGGCACCAACCAGGGAGTTCACATGCCAGCCATCAGCAGCTGTAGGCGCCCCCCACAGTGTAGCTCTCTGGACACCAGCCTGGGTAGCTGAACAAGTTCTGGCATTTATTGTAAACATTTCCTCTTTTGAATTCCCCTTACATGTTGAGCCCTGAAGGCAACCAGGAGTTTTGATGAGGTTTTCTTTACTTGGTTGTCTTATTGGGTGAGAAGCCTGATCCTGACTTGATAAAGAGGGCATACATTTTGGACCCAGAAATAAGAACACTTGATTTCAGGAAATCAGCCTTTATGTGAGCTGTGTTTGACTTTGGATAGATTCTCCAGGGTAACACTGTGCTAGGTTTAGGACTGACTACCAGAATGGAGTGTTTACTTATAGTTCATTACTTATAACCAAAGGCCCTTGAACTCCTAGAGATTCTAGATTCAAGGCTTGCCTAGTCTGACTGTCCAGGGAGCTGTAGTGAGGACTGTAGGTGGTGTGACCCCCACCTCCCCAAACACTTGTGAAGATGGGAGAGGATGCTTCCCGGGGAGTGGATGAGTGGGTGAGGCAATGACCTGGCAGGTGCTAGGTCATTCTGGGGTAGGGGTCTGAAAGTACTCACTTGAGAGGTCTCTGCCTACACCCAGAGCCAAGCCATCTTTGATCCACAGAACAAAGCCATCGTATTCAGGGATGGCGCACAGCAGTGTCACTGGCTGTCCGGATACCACCACTTGGTCCTGGGGCTGCTGGCTGAAGGAGTAGACTTGGCCTAGGAAGGAGACAAGCACAATGGATTATTAGTCAGATAATGTCTAGTCAGCTTCTCTCAAGTTCTGGAAGCAGAGCAAAGCTGGCCCAGGGGACCTGGTCTCCCCAGAGTACCTTGCTTCCTGCTAGAGGTCTTCTGTCCCCAGCTTTATCTCATCCTTTCAAGGATTGCCTTCTGACTCCAGTCCCTCTGTCTATCAATCCTCATCATGGATACCGAGTACCAGCCATGTACCAGCAAATGCAGGCAATCTCCAGATACCAGACTACTCCCTTTTCTTTAGAGGCTTCTACCAAACTCCATTTGCTTGGAGGCTCATGGTTTCAGGTAAACTTAAGAATCCAAGGAATCAGACTGGCAGAAGGAACAGTGGTGAGAGCCAGCAGCCATATCTCTCCACCCCTTCCTTTTCTGCAGCAGGTCCTGTTCAGCCTCCCTTTTGATTGAGGAAAACCCATATCTCCCATCTATACCTCAAAACAAGATGGTTCTAACCATCCCAGCTACGAGTTCATGTTTTATTAAACGAACACACTGTGCATACAAGATGTCAGACTCTGGTCTGAAGTTGTCAAATATTAGCTCATTAATATTTCCATCCTCATAACAACCCCAAAATAGTAAGCACAAGTTTTAGTCCCCATTCTCCAGATGAAGAAGTGAGGCACAGGGAGGTTAGAGAAAGTCCTAGGAGCTGCACTGGGTAATTGCTTCCTGAAGCTGGATGTCTACTACCTGCAGGTGCAGTAGAGACAGCACCATACGGGCATCATCTGACTTCTGCAGGGTGCGGGGAAATGAGCACTTAGCTCACTAAATTGTCAGGTGAGCTACCTCTGGCGGGGTGAGGGCTGTGAACTCAAGTCTTCTTCTCATATGCCCTGCTATGCTTTGTGTAGCTCACAGCTCTGGTCATGGAGGGAGGCTCTGAAGAAGGGAGGTGACATGGTTTGTGTCCCCTTGGAGCCACATTTGAGTGGATAATAGGACATTGACATTCACAGAACATCTGACACACAGTGTGACTGGTGCTTTACAAGTCCTCCTTTTCCTGTAGTCCATGTTTAATTATGTTTCAGGGCAGAAACATCCCCACCTTATAAGAAAGAAAACGGGATCTGAGAGGCACCTCAACCTGCCCAAGGTCACAAAGTTAGTGAGTGGTGAAGCCTGGGTTTGGGCTGGGGTGCATGGGGGTTCTGAGCCCTGATTCTTGTCCCATTCACTGCCCTGCAGATACAGACATATAATCAAGGGAAACAGAGACTCTAGGCAAGTAGCTGCCATCCTGGACAGAGGTCCTGGACACTGGTCCTGCCCTTCTAGGGAATGCAAGGCCCCAGGCTTGGACTGCACACAGGGCCAAGCTCTCAGCAGTAGTTGACCTCAGGAAGGGAACCGCTGATGGACAGAAGGTGAGGGGAGCTGGAGTGCAGTGGAGGGTGTGGTGGAGCCTCCAGGGCAGGACGCAGCCTACACAGAGCCCTGGCAGCAGGCAGGTGGCGGATTCACAGCCTGGTGAGGGCTTGGCTGCATCTCTGAGGAGGCTCATTAAAAATCAAATTGGCCTTGAATTATGGGAGTAACACTTTTTATTCTGATTTGAGCTTTACAAATTAGATTTCTTAGGACATTTTAATCAACTATATGTGGTAGACTTTTTTCCTCTGTCTCTTCAAGTTTTCTGTTGTAATTAGACTGTTTCTGGCACCAAAACAAGGGAGAAAGAAAAGAAGAGATGAAAGAGGAGAAAAAGGAGGGGGTGAAGGAAGGAAAGCAGGAGAGAAAGTAGAGAACTAGAGGGGGAGGAAAAAGGGTGAAAGAGAAGGAGGAGGAGGGGAAGGGAAGAAAAAGGGTGAGGAGGAAGAAGAGGAGGGAGTGGAGGAGAGAGAAAGGGAGGAGGAGAAATAGGGAAAGAGAAATGGGGAGAGGAGGAGAGAGAGAATGGAAAAGGAGGGGAGGGGTAGAGGAAGAGAGAGGAGGAAAAGGGAGAGTAGGGGGAAGGGGGAGAGGAAGAAGAGGGGAGAGTAGGAGAGTAGAGGGAGGGAAGAAGAAGGAGAGTAGGGGAGGAGGGAGAGTAGGAGGATTGGGGAGAGGAGGGAGAGGGCGAGTAGGGGAAGGGGGGAAAAGAGGGGACAAAGGGGAGGAGGAGGGAGAGGGGGAGTAGGGGGAGGGGGAAAAGAGGGAGAGAAAGGAGAGGAGGAGGGAGAAGAGAGGGAGGGGGTGGAGCAGGAGTGGGGAAAAGAGGGAGAGATGGGGAGAAAGGATTCCTTCCCTGGGCCCTTTCTCCCTGCTCTAATGGTGATTTCACAGCTCATTCTTTTATCTTGAAATCTTTCTTGCAAGAAGGATGGTGTCAAGGCAGCTGCAGTAGCCGCCAAAGATTGTGCTATCAGAGGGAATTATCAGGTTGTCAGCCAGGAGCTGAAGGGCTGTAATGAGAAGGCCCTAAATGAAGTGGTGCTGGCCTTCAAATATGTCCCTTATTAGGAGCACTGGGAGATGGTAGCTGTCCCATTTACCCACCCTTATCCTGTTTCTGCTTGGTGGAAGGAACAGGTGGTACTGGTGAGGACACATGGGGAGCAAGAGGATGGGAGGCATGGGAGGCCAAGTCTTGGATGGTTGCCATAGAAACCAGGCTCTGGAGGGCTGCCCAGAGCTGGGAGGACAGGTTAGTGGAAGTGGCCATGGAGGTGGATTCTGAGTGATCACAATGTCACTTTGGAAGCTTTCTCAGAACCAGGAGTTGGAAGCAGGCACGGATCCCTCCAAATACTACCTGGGGCCTGAAGGGGAGAGGCAGAGCAGGAGAGGTCTACCAGTTGAGGTAAGTCTCCTGACCAGAGGCTCAGGAGTACAGAGTTCCTTGGCAGCCACCAGAAGGCTTCAGTGCTCACCTTTTGTCTCTTTGGACCACTTGAACTTTCTGTGGAAAGAATTTTTGGGGCAGTGGATAGATACACAGGATAGTCTCAAAAATTACCCAAAGGAAACGATTGGTAGGTTATTGTGTGGGGGGCGGGGGGGTGAGCATTGTTATCAGCAATTTCCTTCTTCAGTTCAATTTTAATTTTCACACACTATGAAATGCTTTTTCAGATGCATCTTAAACTGAGTGTTGTGGAGTGGTAAAAGTTGGGATGCTGGGGAGGAAGAGGAGGTGGAGGGATGACCCACACTCATTTCACTCCTGGGATAGATCTTGAGGTCTTCCTTGTCAGGGGCTCTTGGAGCAGTCTGCAAGCCAGGGATGTGAGTTATTGCCAAAGGGATGCTCCTCCCCTATTCTCTTGCTCTCCTTTTTCTCTTCCCAATGTCCTTCCCTACCCCAAAGAAATGAAAGGCCAATAAGCCTGGGGTCATTTTCTGTAACCTCCTGGAGTGGCTTTGGACTGGATAGTCACTCCTTGAGAACATGACTTATTCCACAAACATTGGACCTGCTTTGAGGCAAGCAACCTGTTGCCATGTGACAATAGGTAAGCAGGCTGAAATATGCATCTGTCCCTTTCATCATACCCAAGTCATCTCTGATGGAACACAGAGTAGGTACGTCCTGCTCTCAGTATACTCTACACATCTGGCATCACCACTCCAGGTCTCCATCTCACTCTTCCATTTTGCCTGATGACAGTGGCATGAAGTCTAGCAGTCAGTACCACCTTCCTCTCCTCTCCCATCCTCTCTTTTCCTCCCCTCCTCTCCTCTTCCCTCTCTTCTCTTTTCCTTTTCTCTTTTCTTTTTTTGGTGGTACTGGTGATTGAATTCAGGGTCTTGTGCTTGGAAGTCCTCTAACCACTTGAACCATGTCCCCACCTCTTTTATGTTTAGTTTGTTTTTTCAGTTAGGGTCTCTTGTTAACTTTGCCTGGACTGTCCTTGGACCACAATGCTCCTACCTCTCTGCTTCCCAAGTAGCTGAAATTACAGGCAAGTGCCACCATTCCCTGACTGCCATCTCCCTTTTCTTACTTCTTTTTGGTGGTTGTGCTAGGCATAGAACCCAGGGCCTACTGTATTCCAAGTAAGCACTCTACTACTGAGCCTCACCTCAGCCCTCTTTCTTCATTTTTAATATGTCACCATGATAAAGTCCAGCCCAGCCGGCCTGCCTCCACCTCTCTCAGACTCACCATTTCTTTTCCATCCCTCCTGTTAGAGCCCACCCAAAGCCCTCGGGCCCCTTGCCTTAGCCTGCATTCTTTCAGCAGATATGAGACTTCCCTTACCTCATCCACTGCATGGCTGGCCTGGATTTTCCTTCTTAAACCACCACTCTCCTCATGTCTCCCCTTTCACAGGGGCTGGACCTTCTTGGGGCTTTCCACTGTTCACAAGGCGACACTCGACCTCCTGTCCGGCATTTTGTGCTTCTCACAGTCTGACCCCTTCTCCCTGGGCACTGCACGGCACCCTCTGCTGACTGCTCCTTAGTGCTCCCTGCCCCACGCCTTCCTGTTCCACGGAACTGAGATGTGCTCTCCTCCCCACTCAGGGCAGCCCAAGGCCGAGCTCTCTTCCTAGACATCTCCTGTTACCCAGGGGATTCTATCTCTCTTCCGTCCTCCCACTTCCCTGGTTTCCCTCCTTTTCATCTCCCTTAATGTGCTACTCAGACTTCGTCACCATGACCAACTAACTGACATAAACAAGGAGGAAAAGGGAAGAAAGATTTATTTTGGCTCCTGGTTTCAGAGGGTTCAGTCCATGGTTGCTTGGCCCCAGTGGACATCATGGTGGCAGGAGCATGTGGCAGAGGAGGTTCTTCACCTCATAGTGGCCAAGAAGGAGGGAGGGAGAGAGAGAGAGAGAGAGAGAGAGCGAGCCTGTACTAACAGACTTACAGACTTCCTTCTTCTTCTCTTTTATTCTGTCTGGGCCCCCAGCCCATGGGATGGTGCCACCCGCATTCAAGACAGGTCTTCTCCCCTTTGTTAATCCTCTCTGGTCACAATCTTATAGACACATCAGAAGTGTACCTTACCAATCTCTTAGGCA